ATGAGGGCTGTGGTCCTGTTGTCTTAAAGGCCCAAATAGGAAAACCTGGTTTGTTCTATTCTATTTATCAAAACGATGTCAAAGTGCCGCTCTTCTTTTTGATTTGCTTGTTTGCTTCCTTATGAACCTTTAATACAGTACTTTATTGACAGCTTCCTGAGAGTTAGCTAGCTACTGTCCTAAAAACTACACTTTACATGAAGCTATCTGCTCTTTGTAGGTAAAAAGTGTAGGAACTCACCAGTAAGCCATCCAGAAAAACCAGCAGAACAGTCTCATTTTGGTTGTTAGACATCTTTTGTTTTATTTTGACCAATTATTTAAGTTTAGAATGTTAATTGAATACTTTTTATGTACACTAAGTGTAAATGTGTTTGATTCTTTGATTTTTCCACAGTGAATTTATCAAGGGAATTATTATTTTAGTTTTATTTTTCCTGCAGTGGTTAAAAATTGCCACAATTCCAGATTGCAGAATCTGCACTGCAAAAAAAATGTCGATCTAACCAAGATTAAAACCTTATATCCAGCCAAAAAAAAAAAAATAAAAAAACTTTTTGATCTTGTTTTGAGACAGATTTACTAAACAATATCTGTTTGTGTAAGAATAATAATCTTGTTTTCAGAATGTGTAAGGTTAGCCTGAAAATTTTACTCAAATTTAAGAAAAATTTCTGCCAATGGAGTAAGAAAATTTTACTTGGTAAGATTCTTGAAATAAGAAAAAAATAAGTCAAATCCATTTTTTCAACAGTCTTACCAAGTAAAATTTTCTTACTCCATTGGTAGAAGTTTTTGACTGAATTTGAGTCAAATTTTCAGGCTAACAAGACAAATAATCTTACACATTCTGAAAACAAGATGATTATTCTKACACAATCAGTTCTTGTTTAGTAAATCAGTCTCAAAACAAGATCAAAAAGACTTTTTGGCTGGATATAAGATTTTAAAAATTGGTTAGATGGACAGTTTTTGCAGTGTGGGAGGAAATCCCATGAGGGAGCCAAGCTAACTGCTAACCAGAGCAGGGCAGAAGCAACCATAATGCAAATGTCTGAAAAGTCTTTTGGAGGCTGAAGTGTACATTATATAAAATGTTTGTATATCTTGTCATTTTTTCACCAAGACAAAGGGTTTCCCCACCAAACAAAGTCCTCAGTAATCCAGGTAAAAAAAAACTAAAAGAAAAAGTTAATAGGTCCTCTGTATGGGTTCTTCTTTAATGAAACATTTCATTCTCCAAGAGACTTCTTCAGTCTGAGGAGTTTCAGGTAAACTGAGCCTTACAAGCACTTCCTCCACATGGTGGACAAACAGGTTTATTGATGAGCATAACACTGGCCTGATGATGCAGTTCTTCTGTGTTGGCCCATTCTTTTGAACAGTGGCTGCTTAGTTAAACGTCAGGGAAACAAAGAAGCCACTGTTCAGAAGAATGGGCCAACACAGAAGAGCTACATCATCAGGACAGGCCTCTGCAGTTTACACTCATCTACAGGCCAGGACTCTGTAGTTTACATTCATTTACAGGCCAGGACTCTACAGTTTACACTCATCTACAGGCCAGCAGTCACTCTTTCAGGGATGAATATGTTCTCTTCCTTGATAGAGTGGAACGTTGGTTTGAGAGATGAGTAAAGGAAGCCATTTTTGTGAAGAAAAACCATCCACCATTAAACAGAGGTGGAGGCCTTCGTGTCCAGTTGTCCTCCTAAAATGCTGTTATTGCAAGTACGACTCCGACCACTGTGAGCAAAAGGTGTGAATCAGGGCCCCAGTGATGGTCAAGTGATAGTGCACATGATCCTCCATGAACAATAGGTGATAATCAGGGCACCAATGCTCTATTGTTAGGCTGATGGGTCCCCTTTTGCACGTGACTAACCTGTTTGTCCACCATGTGGAGGCAGTGCTTATAAGGCTGAGTTCACCTGAAACTCCTCAGACTGAAGAAGCCTCTTGGAGGAGAGACGAAACGTTTCATTGAAGAAAAACCTGTCCAGAGGACCTACTAATTTTTTTTGAAAGTTCATGTTGCACCATAATGGCTGCTCAATCTGTGGCATTTTACACCAGTTCTGTTCTCATCTAACTGATCAGTGTTACAAGTACTGACCTAGAATTTGGTTTGTTAGTATCTGAGACTGATCCTCAACACGTACTCTGAACGCTAACAGATCACACAAGTTTGTTTCAAATTGTTTCAAAATATCATTTTGGAGTAAACTTTGCTTCTTGGCAAAATATCTCATAAACCACTGGAAAAATTTCATTGAAATTTTCAGGGAATATACATTAGATATACCTCTACAAATGCTTACATTTGAGCACCAGTTCAACCCAAGGCAGCCACCACAACTAGCTCACCTTAGAAATCACAAAATGGCCAAAAATTCTGTCAATTTTACTGATATTGTGCTAAAACTGGATGTGGATCATAGCTGAAAATGAGTCACAATCCATAATGCAAGTACTACTTACCGGGGAAAATCTTTGCTTTTAAACTTTTCTATTGACTCTTGGAGTCAACCCTGTTTGCAGTAAATCCATGTGTAAAAACATGGCAGATGCAAAGACATCCCAAGACCACTGGTAGGGCTCTGACTTTTTAAACATGATGCTTTAAGCCACAACTTTTAGCAGTTTACATCACAGGATGGACTGTGCTGAACTGCTGATTTTAAAAAGCCTTAAAAAAAGAATCAAACATCTCATATTTGCAAAATTAATGCCCAGTAGAAAGCTAGCCAGCAGTTTTGGCACATCTGGTGGAATCAAGTTTCAGTGAGCGACAACACTCACTGGACCTTCAGCATCCATGCTATGATGCAGGGCTGCATTGGTGCTGTAGGGTCTAATACAAAATGAATGAGCAGTAAACTAGGGTCACTAGGGTTTGAATGGTTTTAGTTGGTGAAAATGCAGCCATTTCTGCCCCTGGTGTTAAAACAGTTAGATTGGCTCCCTGGGAGAAATCATGTTATTTTACCGCTACATGTAGAGCTAACAGGGATAAATGAACCATCTTCTAAAACCCTGACTTAAAAGAAAAAAATGTCCCTTAAGGAGCGCATCCTGAACAGCCTGTGACAAGGATTTCAGTAAACTATAACACAGTATAAGAATTATTAACCAGACTATACTTTCTATAATGTGGACCATGTTGTGAAACAGCTAAAATACTTTTCTTTCAAAAGGTTTCCACTAGGATTGTACCTTTTCTTTGCTGGGACACAGCATGTCAGTTTCTCACTTGACAACAATTATCCATGCACACAGCTAATTTTCTTCCTGTCATGACTTAACCCAAGCTTTGGGAGTTTCGGTTACAGTACGTCAACCTGGAGTGCTGCTCTGGGAGGGATAAAAGTCCCACGGTGGCCTGGATTACAGTAGCCCCCTTTGCCAGCTTGTCGGGGTAGAATCCCCACTCGTCGTTGGAATCACAACAATCAGCGCCGCAGGTGGAGACAGGATGGAGTCACAGCCTATGCACTAAAAAACTGCTGGGTTATTTTTTGGAAAATTCAAGGTTAAAGCTTGTTGGCCCATTTGGTTTGACCAAATATTGAATCCAAAAGTTTATTAAGGTCAAAGCTGAGCGGCGTCTTTCTTTACAGTCACATTTTAAAGCAGGAGTTGACCAAATCTGAACTGACTGGATCTCCGCTTTGTCTCTTTGTTAGCAAAATATTTGCAGAACCATCAGTTGGACATTGGCTGTGTCCAAAATGGGAGGCCGTTCCTCTGAAGGCCGAAGTTGTCGACCGCTTACGTCACAGAGGCTGTCCAAAACCAAAGACTCCTCCGATGCAGCAGACAAATGCGTCCTTCCTTTGGCTTGAATTGAAGGACTGGTCCGATGGATCCTTACGGTCCACCATATCCCATAATGCATTGCAGACTGACTGGAGATTTTTATTTATTTTTTTAATTTTTTTGCTAGGCGAGAGAAAAGAATATGTTTTAAATAAAACTATGGCAGTATAAAAAATTCAAGTGCTTGTGTTGGTAATAATAATTTGTATACTATGTTTTTAATATAATTTTTGTCAGAAAAAAAGGATGAGAGGCTAGACCGTCACAGTCACTTTTTTCCGGTCTTTGCGGTCTACCGAGGACCCGACGTACCTAGACAGGGAAGACCGTGACCTTTGGGGGACCTGGCCTCCCATTTTGGACACAGCCTATAATAAAACTTAAAATCGGGGGTGCATATTTACAAGTTGACCAAATCCAAGATGGCTGCCACAACTGACTGACTGTATAAACAGGGAAATTATGACTCAGCCAGTTTTACAGATATTGATAATTTCATGCTGCAGGCAGCTGAGCATCATCCTCAATAAACTTATGGCATAAACTGTTGGAGTCACACCAGTTTCTCTGTTAACAAAATATCTCAAAGATTAATACTTGAAGTCAAACCAAGTCAAGATGGCAGCGACAGCTTTTTGACCTTAGCCTGAACTAAAATGGTTACTCCTCAGTGAATATTACAGATGCTGAGCTAAAATTTGGTGTGGTAGTAGCTGACAGTCGTTCACAACAAAAAGTCCTGACAAATCAGACGAGATATGATATTACATGAGACTGCAATAATATTATTTTCACTCTCTCTGGTGATTTTAGTCTGAAACTATGGCATGAAAAATGGTGGGCTTTATGCCTTCCCTTTAAGGAATGCTCGGACCTGATTTTTTCCTGCTTTTGCCACATTAGCAGAATTGTTATAATCGGTACAAAGGGTGAATCTCCCACCTGCGATTCTGCGAGCAGTTCATCAAAGAGACAGATAAGTGACATCACCTTAAGACAGTACAGCACTTGGGGCCGACTCCAGCTGTCGTTTTCTCACAGCCTTAAGACATCTGAATAGTAAACTGATCTGTGTACACTGGAACCACGGACTGGAGTAAACTGCACACTTGTGACGGGAGTAGGGAGATGGTACAAAGGTGGTGAGCTTAGTAGAAAAGAAATTTAAAAAAAAGGCGGGAGGATTTCAAAATTCCGTTTTTGAAAGCTGCAAACAAACTGGAGAGTACAGCTTCTTTTGAGGTCGTGTTGATGCAGGAGTAGTTTCACAATTGTGCTGATTTGTCATACTCTGCTTTTATCCAGCTACAATCATTTTATTTCATTTTTTAAAATAATGCTACCCCTCAAAATCAGTCGTGAAGAGTTGTCGAAACACAATGAATCTGCACGTACTCAGGTTCCAACACAAGAAACACAAAAAAACGAGGGTAGAAATACTATACTCAAATGCATGGGAGTCAGATGAGATTTCGTCATCAGCTGTTTTAGTCAGCAGTAATGCTATTTACATTGTTCTGTATGTACAGTAGAGAATCTCCCAGAGATGTTAAGTTCTGTAAAGCTGCAATGGGGTACTCCTTTAAATTCCTCACATTTAAAAGTCCTTAGATGAAGAGCCATACTAGTCCCTGTTGAAGTGTTACGAATGAGTAAAGATGACTTTCTGCAGTCGCAGGTCTGGAGTCAAACCATGTGAAGTCGCCACTGATCCGCCGTCTACATGGCACTAACTGAAAGTCAATGATTCGCAACACTTTTAAAGAAAGAATTCAAAAATGGGCGTTATGGTTCTTCATCATAAGGATTGGACTTCTCACACAAATCAAGACTTTAAATACAGTAAATTTTTTTTTATCATAAAGGTATTTGTTGAGAAAGTGGAGTGTTAAATGCACTGTACAAACTTGTACAGTTTTTTTCAAAATATAGTTTTTTTATCCTCATGATTTTTTTAAAATCTTACAGATCCTGTACACTTCTGCATTGAGATTGGTTGATATCCTGATCATTAGAGAAGAAGAAAGAAGAAGAATAGAAGGGGAGAGAAAGAGTAGAAGAGAAAAAGAAAGACAGGAGTTATTCAGTGCCATTGCTGCCCTCAGTGAAGACGCTGCACGCCGTAACGGGGCTCTCTTCTGTCCCGAACCTCAATCTGAAGACAACACAGACAGAAAACAGTATTTACTGAACTGATTAGTGAAATAAATGAACAAGTGACCAATAAATAAAATAAATCAAGGCAGATTGAGAAGAAAACTCGAGTCTTAATCAGGTTTATCTTGGCTTGGTAAACAATGTTTTAAGTAAGATTTAGTTCCATGTTTAATGACATTTAATGCAGTGATACTTGTTCCGTGCTGCTTATGTTGGACCTGTTGTCAGCTTTTGACACTGCTGATCATCCGACCCTGTTATTCAGACTGAGGAGTTGTGCTGGCATCTTAAGTCCTGCTATAAAACGATTGTCCTCTTGCTTGTCTGACAGATCAACTTTCTTGGCTGCATCTACTTATAGATCCCATTCCTGTGCTGTTTATGTTGGTGTTCCACAGGGCCCTATTTTGGGGCCATTGTTGTTTCTGCTTTATATGCTCTCTCTTGGTTTGATCCTGTCATCTTTTGAGGATATTTCCTATCATTGTTATGCTGATGAAATCCAGTTGTGTGCATTTTACTACAATGTTTGGATTCAGTTAAGAGCTGGATGACTGAAAATTTTCTTTAGTTAAATTAAGAAAAAACAGAAGTGCGCCAGAAAAAATAACTCCAGTGATAAAGCAGATCCTTGGGCCTCTTGGCAGTCTGGCTAAATCTTCAGTTAAAACCACTGGATCATCATGTCAAATCTTTGGTTTGTTCCTGTTCCTACCATCTACAAAATATAGCCAAACTCAGCCCCGTTGTGTCTCCTTCAGAAATGGAAATCCTACTTCATGCTTTTGTTTCATCTCATTTAGATTATTGTAATGCGTCAATATATGTGCCTAATTAAAACCTCCCTCAACCAGTTGTAGTCTGGAGAAGGCTGCTGCCAGGCTCCTGACTGGATCTTTAGAGTTTTGTCATGTAACTCCCATGTTAATGCAACTTCATTGGCTCCTGGTTCATTGTCGAGTGCAATTGAAGATCTTAGTGCATGGACAGACACCACACTACATCTCTGAACTTTTACATCCCTACACTCCCGTCAGGGCCTTGAGGTCCTGTGATAAAGACATGCTGATAGTTCCCTGTACAAAACTAAAGGCTAGAGGAGACAGAGCTTTTTGTTCTGTGGCTCCAAGATTTTGGAACTCTCTCCCTCTGAATTTAAGATCAGCAGACTCTGTGGCCCTCTCCCTGGGCTGCCACCTTATCATGGTGGAGAGGTTTGAGTGTCCCAATGATCCTAGGAGCTATGTTGTCAGGGGCTTCATGCCCCCCGGTAGGGTCACCAAAGGCAAACAGGTCCTAGGTGAGGGATCAGACAAAATGCAGCTCAAAGACCCCTATGGTGAGTACTACAGATGGACTTAGTGTTCCCTCACCTGGACGCGGGTTACCGGGGCCTTACTCTGGAGCCAGGCCTAAAGGTGGGGCACATTGGCGAGCGCCTGGTGGCCGGGCTTTTGCCCGTGGACCCCAGCTGAGCACAGCCCAAAGAGGAGATGTGAGTCCCCCTTCCCATGGGATCACCACCTGTGGGAGGGGCCTTAGGGGTTGGGTGAATTGTGTGCTGGGCAGTGGTCGAAGGTAGGGACCTTGGTGGTCTGATCCTCGGCTACAGAAGCTGGCTCTAGGGATGTGGAATGTCACATCTCTCGTAGGGAAGGAGCCTGAGCTGGTGTATGAAGTTGTGAGGTTTTGCCTAGATATAGTCGGACTCCCCTCAATGTACCGCTCTGGCTCTGGAACCAGGGGTCTTGTTCACGAATGAGGGAAGAATGGAGCGTGAGATTGACAGGCGGATTGGTGCTGCATCTGCAGTGATTTTGTGAATTTGGGTAGTGACCGAAAGAACGAGATAGTGGATACAAGCGGCCGAAATGGGTTTCCTCTGCAGGGTGTCTGGGCTCTCCCTTAGAGATAATGTGAGAAGCTCAGTCATCCAGGAGGGACTCAGAGTAGAGCCGCTGCTCCTCCATGTCGAGAGGAGTCAGTTGAGGTGGCTCGGGCATCTGGTTAAGATGCCTCCTGGACGCCTCCCTGGTGAGGTGTTCCGGGCATGTCCCACTGGGAGGAGGCCCAGAGGAAGACCCAGGACACGCTGGAAGGACTATGTTTCTCAGCTGGCCTGGGAACGCCTTGAGATTCCCCTGGATGAGCTGGCCCAAGTGGTTGGGGAGAGGGAAGTCTGGGTCTCTGCAAAGGCTGCTGCCCCCGAGACCTGACCCCAGGTAAGCAGAAGAAAACGGACGGATGGACAGACTCTGTGGCCTCTTTTAAAGACCAGCTAAAAACATTTTTTTATCTGTTTTTGTTTAAATCTGCTCTGTGTATTAGTTGTTTGTTGAAAGGTGCTATATAAAAAAAGTTTTATTTACTTACTTACTTACTTTACTTACTTTACTTACTTACTTACTTACTTACTTACTTACTTACTTACTTACTTACTTACTTACTTACT